TGTTCTGGAAGAGTTTCTTTTAAAAATGACTTAAGCAATAAAAAGCATGGCTAAAAGAGTTGTGCCTGTTTAATTTGAGAGCTTCATAACAGTTCTCCACTGTTCTACATTTCCTGCCTAACCACCACCATTGAACTCAAAAGAGCCAGCCAGTGGATCCACTACCATAGATCCCTCACAAACTCAGCTGCATGAGTAAAATTTAAAATGGGATTCCCCACTCCATCAGCTATCCCTGGAGCCAGCTACTCCCATAGAGGACACAAGCCCCAATGAGCCAATGAAGGAGAAATAGGAAGGCACTAGAGTGTCACATATGAAATTGGTGTTTGGATTTAGTGGGCAACTCACCAGGGGGTACAGGAACACTGACTCTTATGGGTTAAAAAAAAGACAACAAAATAGTTCAAAAAATGGGAAAAGAATTCTTTCTCCTGGAAAAATGATCTAGGTCGCTTCATGGAAAATAGAAATGAATCAAGAGGATCCTTTGACTTGGAAATCAAGTGAATCCATGGATTATCTCAAGCTATGTGACTGCAAGTCTCTCTGTCCTGGGTCCCAGGCAGGAAAGATTGGATTTGTGTTAGAACGTGTCTTCAAGTTGCCTGTCGACTTATAGTGACCCCATGAATTTCATATGGTTTTCTTAAGCAAGGAGGCCAGTTCCTTTCTCTTAAATATAGCCTACAGCACATGGTATTTGTTGATGATCTCTCATCCAAGTAGCAACCAGGGTTGACCTTGCTTAGCTTCCAAGATCTCTTGGGATCTGGTGTTTTTAGAGTAAAAGATTAGATACTGGATGCCCAAATTCAAGGATTGTTATACTGTATGTGTATAGAGAAAGCTGACATTGGAGTTTATCACACAGGGAAAACTGGAAGTTTAAACTAGACAGAACCCAGGGTTATCCATGGTATTAGGCACAATTGCACAATTGGTTTTCAGATGATGCTGTGTGCAAACCACTTGGAATCCGAACAGAAAGTGACACAAATCAGGGAGTAATCATTTTCAGGAAAAGACCGTGTTTTCATTTCCATTTCATTCACAAATTCACTTTCTTGGGCAATTGCTTTAGTGTTAAAGCTATTTGCAGGATTTTCCCCGTTTTTGTGCTTGTTGAAAGATTTCCCATGGTTCTTTGTTGCTTTGTTGTGCCGAGAGGGACACAGCCTTTTATGTTTCAGCCAGGCTCCTAAAGCATCAGCAGGTGCACGCACACACACATACATGCACACAGAGAAAAGTCTTGCTTCTCTCCTTCATGCATGGCTTGAATGTCTCCTCCTCCCTCAGCCTCAGCCAGTGAAGGAAGGAACAGAAGGGATGCATCTAGAGAGAATTTTCCTCTTTCCTTTCCTACTTCTTTTCTTTTTACTTTGGGGTGAACTTACTTCCAGGCTTGTTGAAAACAGCTTCTGGGGCAAAGAGTGTTTTCCTCCCCATTTTCCCTTTCCTCTGGAGCTTGCGTGTGTGTGTGTGTGTGAGTGGTTTGTGTTATTTTATGCAAACGGAAACCTCATCCATCCTTCCTCTGAAACAGCTTCTGGGGCAAAGACTGCATTCCTCCCCATTTTCCCTTTTCTCTGGAGCGTGTATGTGTATGCACTTGGAAATGACCGTTTTGAGTGTCACTTCTGTGCACATGTGCAAAAAAGTTATTTCAAAACCTTTGATGGGATTTGTCCATATCTGTCTGAAAACCAAATGCACTTTCTACCCACTTTTGCGCATTAGTAATGTGTTTTTAACACTTGGTTGTGCTCTGTGTATGAAAATCAAGTACTTTTCTGGGATGCAGACATTTTAATCATTTTTGGGATGGAAGCACACAGGTCCCCATGTGATAAACTCCATTGCTGAGCCCCTCAAGAAATGACAGAAAAGATACTATGCAAGAGAAAGTTTTTAATAAATTTGTAGATGTGATTCTTAAAGACAAATAATATTGTGATAATATTACACACTGGAAAAGCTAACAAACATATTTGGAAATATTAGCATTATATTTTGGGTATGACATGGCATGAGAGGCCAGCTTCTTACACATATTGGCAGGATCATCAAGTCTTATTGGATAAAGATCATCAAGGCCATTCAAGCAATTACAGGAAACAAATTTAATTTGTCACTAAAAGAGGCCCTCTTAAATGACTAAATTCTGTGTAGGAGGAAAGAATGAGGATATGGCTGGCAATTTGTTAACAGCTGCAGAAATGAATATAGCTGGAAAGAATGAATGAGCCATCAGTAGAAAATTGGTTCAAAAATATCTAATATTGTAGTACTTATGTCAAAAATTACTGCTATTATGCATGTGCATTTGAGAAGGAGGAATGACCATTGGAATGTTGCTGGGAAAAACTGCAATGATCTGTGGAAATTTGGAATTGGAAACAGAACTAAAAATGCCATGTTCAAATATTGTTGGGATGTGAATATTTTATAATAATGTAATGTTATGTAGAAATGGTAACTATGGAATTAGTTTTTAAAGATTATTTTTGTGTTTGCAGTGTTTTGTGGAGAATCAGTCAGTCAGAACATTTGATTGTGTCTACTGTCATTTATTGAAAACTAGAAGTGTTAGGTCCCAGGCAACATTAGTACTCTGAACTTCTTTCACTTTAAATTTTGTGACATCATGCAGAATAAAGGCAACATTCTTTCTGGCAAGTTTTTAAAGGAAATGATTATATATCTTTAGTTTCCCTGACCTTAATAAAGAAATGCCAGATTCCTGCTTACTGAAAGCTTATGTTTGATCTCTCACAATGCTCTAAGAGTGCAAGGACAACTTTTTCTCTCTTGCCAATCTGGTAACAGTGAATAAGAAAGGTCAAAGATGAAAGTGAAAAGGCAGGTTTGATGCTGAACATGAAGAAAACAAAAATAATGACCACAGAAGAAATACACAAATTCAATCTAGACAATGAGGAAATTGAAATAGTTAAAGAATTCCCATATCTAGGATCAAACTTGACCAGAATGGAGACTGCAATCAAGAAATAAGAAGACTAGCTATGAAAGAAATGGAAAAAATTCTGAAGAGCAAAGACATACAACTGAGCACTAAAGTCAGAATCATTCAGACCATTGTAAACCCAATTACCACGTACAGATGCAAGAGCTGGACAGTGAAAGAAGCAGACAGAAAGAAAATCAACTCATTTGAAATTTGGTGCTGGAGAAGAGTACTTAGGATACCATGGACAGCCAAGAAGACAAATAAATGGGTTCTTGAACAGGTCAGGCCAGGGCTCTCCTTGGAAGCTCAGATGATCAAGTTGAGACTATCGTACTTTGGCCACATAATGAGAAGGCATGGATCACTAGAAAGAAAACAATAATGCTAGGAAAGGTAGAGGGTAGAAGAAAGAGAGGAAGACCACAAACCAGATGGATAGACTCAGTCGGTGGGGTTATGGGCAAGGGCGTGCAGGATCTGGGCAAGGCAGTGGAAGATAGGGGGGGAGGAGGGAATTATTTGATTTTATATTGTATGGTATTTTACTGTTCACCGCCCAGATTGGTCCGCCACAGGGCGGTATATAAATAAAAATTATTATTATTATTATTATTATTATTATTATTATTATTATTGGGATTCTTGTGTCCATGAAAGGCCTAGGTGGCCCATCCATGGTAGGACCTCTGGCAGACAGGGACTAGGGTACAGTCACCTCTCCAGTTCACTTGATTGGAATTTGGGCAGGCCTACCACATCCTTTTATATTCTCTTACTGGCTGAATTTCCATCCCTCCCTTCCTTCAGCCTCCAACTTTCTTCTCTGCCATGCACCTGCAAGTTTTCCTTGCACTGGAAAGTAATTTTACTGAGCAGCTGAATTGGCTGTAGATCACTGAATGTTTGCCTTCCCCTTCAGGTTTGCTTTGACCAGAGTTTCTCCTGCTAATGTATCCATTACTCACTGTCATATGTAAGCATTGTGTGTAAGAGAGTATTAATTTCTGTGAAGTTTACCTGATTTCCCAAAAGAGGGAGGTCCCTATAAGGAAATTTGGAGAAAGGGGTCCTGGAAGCAGCAGCTGTTTCAATGGGGATGTAGGGCTGATCCTTCTCTTGAGTGGCAGGAAGGACCCACATTCAAGTCCACTTCTCTTTAGTTCTGCAAGCAGGTTTATAGTGGAAGGGAATCATCATGTGGCTTATGAGTTACCTGGTTATATGATCTTTGTCTCATGCTGCACCAACTATTACCAGCTTGAACCAGTAAAGCTGATGCCATTTTTTATCCCAGTACAACATCCTTTTGCTTGTTTGTTTGTTTGTTTACTCTCCTTCCTAATCCTCCCTGGCAGTTTAGGTGTAATCCAAAACAATAAATACAGTGCTTCTGGCATCTCCTGGCACCTTTGGTGCGATCCTGAATTTATGTGGGAGAAGCAGGAAGAAACATGATATATTTGCTCTTAGCACTTTATATCTATTATCTGGTTAGTGACTTACCAATGTGTAAGTCCCATTTTGGCTGGCTATTCATTTGCTTTTGTGCTCCATCCAGAAACATTCTCTACCTGGATGCTGTCAAGCTTCAGGAGAGACTTTTGCTGATGTCGTATACTATTGGGATGGGAAAGGGAGAGTCAGTTCAGTCCATCCAACTGTTTTGAGTTCCCAGGAGAAGGAAAAGGTGAAGAGCAGCTGCTTCTCTGTGGAATGAATTCCTTCCCCCTCCCCTCCCTTTCCTCCCAAGGGCCTCTCTGGAACGTGACAGCTGCTGGGGAATGTGAGGACATGGAACATGTGCAGAGTTTGCACACATGTAAGATCATGAAGTGAGAGGGGGAAAAAGTTTTGTCAGGTTAAGCTTCCCTCAAGTCTTTGAAATGATAATTAAGGAGATGACTTGTAAAATATCCATTAGTGTAATCCAAACCAAATTTCTTGATACTTTGGGGGCAAGCTTCAGCACACTTCTTCTTGTAACAGTCTCAGAAATGCAGGGAAGAAGTCTGTATTTCATCTAAGAGCAAGGGTGGCATAGTGGTTTCAGTGTTGGACTATGACTCTGAAGACCAAGGTTCAAATTTTTGCTTAGTCATGGAAATCCACCAAGTAACGTTTGGCAAGTCACAACTCTCAGACTGGGAGGAAAGCAAACACAACCACCACCACCCAAATACTGCCGAGAAACTTCCATGTTAGATTTGCCTTAAGATCACCGTAAGTTGGAAATGACTTGAAGGTACAATGGCATTTCATGTGTATTGAAGGCTCCTGGGAAAACAAGTGAATTCAGAAGGAACTATGTATAAATACCACCCCCCAGGTGGACAAAGCTAGTCTCTTTCTCAGCCAAAAGGGATGGGATTGTTTTGGCATGGAAAATGCATTCTCCTCAAATAACAGAATATCATCACAGTAACAGAGGAACATGACTGTCTCAGATAGCAAATACAGACAGGAGGAGAGGCATGAATATTTTCAAGCTCAGTGGATAAATACAACTGTGGACAGATGGGTGAGAAAAATAATCTCTGAGGAATAGTTAACAAAACTGCAAGGCAAAAAGGGGAGAAAATCTAAGGCAACAGGATGATCACTAGGATCATCTTCTTATGACTTCTACCCAGGGTGGATAAAGCTTGGTTGTTTGTGGGGAAACCAAACAGATTTTAAAATTATAAATTGGATTTTTAACTTTTTAAAAACATAAATATTGTGTGTTTTTCTTTCTCAGAATGAGTTGGTTAAAATTAAATCTGAGAATAAGCATGTTAAACCTATCCTTGTGATCTTTTGAAACTGAATTGGTTGCTGTCTCTTGAACACATTAAAGTCTTTTAAAAAAGCGTGAAGATTTTTTTTTTTTAAGTCAAGTATAATGAGTACATCGCAATATGTCCTTTACAATTACTGGGATGACAGAATTCGAAGACATAGCCTTGCTAGTCTGGAAAATAAGTATGCAAAGGGATCTTGTAGTTCCTTTGAGACTAACTCAAAGAGAGAAGTTGGCAGCATGAGCTTTCATAGGCTTGAGTCTAATTCCTCAGATGCATTCCTCAAGTCTAAAAAAGCTCACGCTGCAAACTTCTCTGCTTCAGTTAGTCTCAAAGGGGCTACAAGATAGCAATAGCATTTACATTTCTGTACTGCTTAAAAGTGAACTCAGCATTCTCTAGGCAGTTTACAATCTGTTAGCCAATTTCCCCCAACAAGCAGTGTTCTCATTTTACCAACCTATGAATGGATAGAAGGCTGAGTCAACCTGGAGCCCTCTAGGATCAAACTCACAATGTTGTGGCTGCAGTACCAACTTTAACCACTACACCACAAAATCCCTTTAACTACTATGTTGTTATTGTGACCTCATTACTGGGGGTTGTCATGCTATAGATAGCAGGTTCCCATGTATCAGCACGATAATCAAGTGTGCTCTTTCTCTTCCATTTGCAATTTGCTCAGTTTTCATGTTATCAGTTTCCCATTAGCAATTTTATACCTGCTTACCTGGGAATTATTAATATGTGTGGAGACCAGTGCTTGCAGCAGTGAACAAAACATTATTTTTCAGTGAAAAGAAAGGCATTTTAGAGTGAATCACATAAGATGAGAAAAAGGAACAATAGTATCTGCTACCAGAATTTACATGACGGACAAAAAGAAAACCCCTGGGAGGAAGTGAAGTGAAAACTGAATATAACATAACCCTACATGTTTCACATATTAAAACCAAGACACCTAGAACCAAGCAATATTTGTGTGTAGTCAGGATGCCAAAAATTATTACTGAGGAAGAACACACAAACTAGGAGAGAGTGTGGCAGTTTGCTTTTTGCCTGAGCCTGTTGGGAAGATCAAGGGGGGTTGCAGACTGCCAGAAATAGTGCAAATTGAGTCCACTTTTAGGGTTAGGGTTAGTGCTAGAGAGTAATGGGAATTGGTTTTTTTCTGAGACATTGAGCCTTCTCTGTCAGAGAGCTCTGGTGCCCCAATAAAATACAGTCCCCATGATTCCCTAACCCTAACCCTAAAAGTGAACTCAATTTGCACTATTTCTGGCAGTCTGCAACCCCCCCAAGATTCCCCTCCCCTCCCTCCTAGTCAATTAACTGAGTGCAAACTTTTGCATTTTGAGTTCAGTTTAAGGAACTGATGTAAGCTGGAGACAAAGTGGAAGAAGGAGAGAAACAGGGCATTTCAAACGCAGCTGAAAAAGTGGAATGGCAGAGAATTATTGGAAGTACCCCTGCCAAATCAGGAATAGAGGAAGGGTATTGCATACCAGTCTGTAGGTGAGAAAGCAACAGAGCAGCAGACAGTATAAAAGAGGAGAGCAGAAGGGAAGCCTAACCAGTTGTCTGTATCTCTGTTTCCCTTTGCTGGGATGTATAGTGGGCCCTCCACATTCACTGAGGTTAGAGGCACAGGACTCTCATAAGAGTGGGGAAAACGCAAATAAAAAAACACTTTTATTTTAACCTGAGAGAGCATTTCTCTAGGAATCTCTAGGTCCTCCAGTGCAAATTTGTGATCAACTTCTGGCAGAATCAAGTTGGTGAACCTAGAGATTCCTAGAGAGAACATATTAATCAAATCCACAAAAGTCAAAGCTACAAATGTGGAGGACTGACTAGTCACTTTGCAAATGGTTGCACCCTTTTTTACTTCCAACAGGAGTAATCCACCTGAATATAAGCTTACTTCTGAGTACCTACATATGAGAATGCTTTTTAATTCTCGTGGAAACAGCTTTGAGTAATCCAAGCACCACTATAAACACAAGTTGTTAATGTTGTTTAGTTTAGTAAAATATATATACTATTTTGTGTGTGATTTACTTTTAATTAAGGTCTCTAATGTGTTACACTTTTACACACATAATGAACTAAGGACCTCTACAGACGGCACCATCTTGGAGGCAGGGAAGGGGAGGGACAGCCAGATGCCAGGCACCCCAACCCCTTCCCGAGGACGTCATCACAGCACGCGCCACTACAGACTGTGTGCACTATCAAGGCGTCTTAACGTGCTGTGCCGGAAGGGATGCAGAAGAACCGCACGGCGGCTCTTTGGGCACCCTGTTTGCTGGCTCTGGAAGGATCAGCATTTTACACTTCTTTCAGGGCTGGCAAAAGGGTGGATTGGGGCTGAGGCATGGGACAGCCTTGTCCCCAATCCTCTGCTTCAAAGGGGGGCCCATGGCCGCTCATCTGCACCCCCCCAAGTTAAACAACCAACAGTGAACAAAGTTATACACTAAAGCCACATACCATGTAACATTTGATAAAATTAGCAAACATATCAAGATGTAGATTATATAAAGCTGTACAAAGTAGTTCCTCTTTGAAGTATAAATGCTCTATTTACTTGCAAATTAACATGTTTTACTAGATTAGATTAACTAATTAATACGCTTCACTATTTAGTGTACTTATGAGATAGCCATAAGAAATTTGCCTCAAATCACTGAATTAAATTGGCTTCCACCCCCCCCCC